GTTTTTGTTGAAGAAAGAAAGCAGGGAAAGTTGAATTTTCTTTTGGTTTTGGGCAATTTATTACTACCAGTTGTCACAAGGTCAAAATAATCGAAGTCAAACAAAGAATTATCAAACGACCATAATAATAGTATAATAATATCCATCCTTATGCCCAAAACTCAGATCGTTCACACTTATCTTAGACATTATGGTGTAGCATTAGGGTTTTGTTCTATTTTAAAGAATAAATAGGTAGGGTCCAGCTTCCTTCGTTAAAAAAAGTTGCACATACCACCAATAATTAGCCCTTGTTCTACCAAAATAATAATGATAATTAGCCTTATAAGGGAACCAAATCAAATTGGGTGGCCGGACCAATAGAATCATCAATCGATTATAATATTAGAACAATTATCTATTTGGATAATTATTATTGAATCAGATAATTATCAAAGATAGGATGTTGAGTCGTCAAAAGTCCCAATATCTAAGTGGTGCATTGGTTCAATATTAGAAGGAAAAAAAAAAAAAGAAACGAAGACCCATGAAAACAAACCATTTTTTTATATTTTGAATCCTCTTCAATTCGTGTCTCTTATGCTCTTCATCTCCCTTTCTACGTCCAGTGGTGTGCACAGATCCAGTTTGGATCGAATCGAACCATGAGAAGCGCAGTCAAATAGTAAAAGAACTTTGATGATCAAGAACTAGTCAACCAGATCACCGGACCGAACCAAAAGCATGAAGACCACAATCCAATAATAGTAAAAGAAATATGAGGACCAAGAACCGAACCATCAATATTGTTTGATCCGGTTTGATGCATTGCAAATATCAATTTTGGTCCATCTTTTTTCAATATTCATACAATTCATAGAACCAAATACCGAACCGCATTTTGATATTATCTAGTACAAATATCAATCTCATCTTTTACAATTTAACACAAACCAAATCATTACACACTCCACTCCAGTATGTTTATTTAGTTATTTTCACATTTTCCTTTTCGTCATCCTACTCCAATCACTTGTTATATATGAGAGGTTTCATAAATGGTTCACCAAACACCAATCTCTAACGATTTGACTATTAACCATGAACTATATATTTACTGGTTTCGGTTTCCGGTTGGGTTGGTTTAACAAAGTAGAGGAGAGGAATTTAATTTTGGGGGATAGAGAAGTCAAGGGGAGGATGCGGAGTAAATACTGGGGAAACCAAACCCACCACCAGTTGACCAGGCCACAATTAATTGCCAGGTGTCGGTCAACCGTGAAGGCCTTCTATTCCCATCACTCGATCCAACGGCGATCCTGGCACGTTTTTCTAAGCGCGTTTTAATGAGAGCTTTCTGTGTCTCTGTTCAAAGCAAAAAAAAAAAAAAAAAAAATGTTTTGACTTTCCTCTTACAAAATTGTGTGCTCTCCACTTCTCCTTCTCCAACCCAACCTCTTAATGTGAAATAAATAAGCTAAAAGGATGAAAAGGTAGAGCTGATCGAGTTTTGTAGTAAGGTTGAGTTGAATGGAATGGAAGCAATTCTTCTTCTTGTACAGCCGACCGACCAGGTTCCTCCCGCGTTGGTGTGGACGTGCTCAGTTCGATCAAGAATTCTGTCCAAATTATTTGAATTTGGTCCTGGTTTGATTCCACGTCATTGTTTATAAGGGGGGTAGAGGAGGGCATATGTCAAGAACTTTTTTTTTCAAGAATATTCTAACTAACTTATCCTATAAAATTTAATTATATAAAATGAAAGTCAAACTTGAGGTTTACAGAGACTCATGATATCGCGTTTAACGTTAACTTTGGTCGAATGAGAGGGAATTCGCAAACAGTAAACAGTAACTGCACCACAGAGGGTTAGCAGCTAGTTGCGGTTAACAACGGTAGTAGGTCGCAATACCCAATTGAGGCTTACATGTTGTGATTATATATATACTAAATGTTTTTAAACGAGAATCTGATGTTTTTAAGTCACGGAGATGCATCTATCACACTTCTAAGTTGAATAGCTATATACACTCTTTTCATGAGCGTATAAGCATGCACATTAATTATTCGGTGCGGTTAGCCTGCAAACCACAAATGACCATTTCTATTAACCACAACCATATAAAACCCCATTTGAACAGTTAGGGGTTAACCGCTAATCACACTTATTTGGTGCGGTTGCGGTTTCGCCGCAAAACGGTTTCCCCACCCCTAGTCGTGAGGGCTTGAATACGAGTTCCTTTAATTCCTGATGAATGATTAAGTTAGGTTCTATGTGTGATGGAAATTGCAAAAGAAGACACCGAGTGCAAATCAAGAGAAATATTTGGTTTTGACAGATCGACTTGCTAAAGGGTTCGATAGGAAGAGTCGCAGCAAGATATTTTTCTAGGACATCTAGCTTAGTAATGAAGAAAGAGCAGAGTTATCCAACCTAGCATGGTACCAGACATGTGAAAGATAAGTTTTGAAGCTATCACACCCTTTAGGTGAATAACTGATTTTTTTTATAAGGGTGGTATATGTTTAATTTTTTGTTGTTGTTTTTAGGTACTACTTAAAAGATTCGAACCTGTGACCTTTAGGTTGAAAGCTAGTGGTGTTACCACTAGACCAAACCCTTATTCGTGAGTAACTAGTTATTGAAAAGAGTACGATCGATAATGATTTGTATTTCAACTAAAGAAGCTTCATGTTACAAATGTAGCAAGGAGGTGAATGAAAGACGGACAAGAAACCATAGCGAGAAAATATGGGAATGTTAAAGGAATGACTGACTAATAGGTTGTTGCTAAGGTTTGTGTACCCTTGATGCATAAACAAATTGGATTAGATTGGTCTTCGAGATGGTGGATTGGCAGATGTTACTCTATATAATAGAGATAGAAGCTTGGGTTAGAAGTGGGATTGCCGATATGACTCCATTAGAGGACATAAATGATGGAATGAACTCGAGTTGTTTGTTTTCTAGATGGAGTCGAGGAGGATGTCGACTTTTCAACATTGAGGACAAGATTGGTATCAAGGGAAATGGATTGATGCAGATTAATGTAAATGAGGGGGAGCTTTTTAGTTATTTTACTACCTTCGATCTTTCTTCTCCTAACCCCTCCAACTTCTTCTTCCTCCACTTCCAACCCTATTCTTACTTCTTCCGAAAACTTCTATTCCCTTCCTAATCTCACATAATTCCCTAAAATCTCATATTGGTTTCGGATGGTATGGTTCTTCATTCATCATAAATGACCTTACCATATAATATCATATAAGGTCGAGAATATAAGAAACAAGGATAAGTGGCGTGTTGTATCCCTAAAAAGGCAGCATTGATCAATATCAATTGGACAATAAAAAATAAAATCTCTTCCAAAATATTAGTTAGCCCCTACTCACCTACACATAACCAATTAATCTCATCTCACAAATGTGACAAACTGCAACTCTCCATTTTTATCACTTCCCTGAATCCTTTATCGACTTAACAAATGTAGGATAATTTGGAGCTACACCACCAACAAGCAAATTCTTTTCTTCAAAAGGTGACCATTATGGCTGGCTCATGGTTATGGCAGCAAATTCTTAAGTTGCGGGGTTGGTTTCAATTCAGGATGCCCAAAGAAATGTATACCGGGAATGGAAACTTATTAAACGATTTTCATTTCAGCAAATATGGGAATCTATTCGAAGTCAAGGACCTTCTGCACCCTCCCTGGTGGTAAGTATGTCTTACCACGAAATAGGGTGGTTATGTGGCTGATAATTTTGAATAGAATCACGACTCGTGATAAGCTTAAAGTCCGGGGGTAAGATTACTGACTCCTTATGTGTTCTTTGGGGCAAAGAGGAGGAGACTAGGACTCACTTATTCTGCTGTTGTGAGTATATTGAGAAGTTGTTTGCAGCTATGTTAGCTTCATCTTTGGGAGGCAGACCTTTCAGATTGGGATGGAATGCTGCAGATGATATATATGTGGGTTTGCTAGGAAAGGAGGCAGAGACAACCCTGTGATTTGTGCGATGTGGTGTTGGCTTTGGTGTCTGATATGGAAAGAGAGGTGCCGATGAGTTTTTGGTGAACTACCAAGGCCATGGGAGATGATTTTTGCAGTGTTACGAGAGGAAGTTATGCTATTAGAATTAGGAAATGTTCAGTTTTAAAGATGCTATTGCAAGTACTAGGAGGAATTTGAGTAGTGTAGCTCATTTAATTTGTTGATGTAAGGCGAACAGTCTGAGCTCTTTTGCGAGTTTTGATCATTTTGATCAAGCGTGCTTAATAAGATTCTAATTATCGGGAAAAAATCACGCAATAGTTATTTGCATCTGGTGGTGGTCTGGTCCCCATATCCATGAATATTTTCAGGGGTGATATGTTTTTTCAAAAACTCTCCAAAATATATGTAGAATTTGATGAGAAGGGTTCATCAAAGGGAACTCTGATCAAGCATGTGGTCAGTGCTATCCTTCATATTCCTATTGCGTTACTTTTGTACTTGAATGTTATGTGGAACAATCTTTGAGATTGATTCTGTGATGGTTAGAGGAATAAAGAAACCGGGACAATAATGAAGACATATAATCCTGATCCAAATTGAGAAACCATTTTAAGACTCTATTCAACCTCAAATATATAATAGTTACCAAGTAAAAAAAAAAAATAGTTATCAAGGTAGTCTCTCTTGAAACTTAAAAAATTATAGTTGTTATGTTTAAAATTTTCAATAACACCCGAGAATCACAAAAGAGGCGTGCATTAGGTTGGTTATCAATTTGGAGTTTGATTAAGTAATGACTAATTAGGCCACCCCACCCCACTAATCCCCCAAAAAGCAACCTTAATTCGAGTTCACTTTAAACCCCTCCCCACAGTTAGTCAACGCCTCTCCACTCACCACATCCATAAACTCCAAAGACCCAATAATGAAGCAAAACCAAAAAGAAAACAAAACAAAAAATCAAAAAGGGATTTCTTTCACCTAAAAAGAAAAAACCCATTTCCATTTCTACAATTTCAAACCCCCCATTCCCCTTTCCTCTTCTTGCTTACACAAAAGTCAACGGCCTTCTTCCTATCTCTCTCTCTCTCTCTCTCTGTGTCTCCCTTCAATCTCTTTCTCCTACTTGACCTCTTCTTCTTGGCCTCTTCTTCTTCCTCCTCTGTTTCTGAATCTATCCGCCATGGGGATGGATGATTAACACTCTGTGATTCCGCTTTTTTTCTCAAAGTTGAGATCTTTTCAGCTTGGTTCATCAGTTGGCGAATTCCCAATTCTTGCTCTGCTTCTTTATTTCTAATTTTTTTTTTTTGTGGGGGTGTTCTTTGATGGGAAACGGTATCGGCAAGCTGACGGTCTGTTTCACGGGAGGCGGTGGTGGAGAGGCCCGCCGCCGGCACGACATATCCCTTCTGATATCCGACCCGCTCGACGAAGGCCTGGGCCACTCCTTCTGCTACGTCCGGCCCGACCCGGCCCGCCTCTCCTCCTCCAAGGTCCACAACTCCGAGGAGGCCACCACGTTCCGTACAATCTCCGGCGCCTCCATCAGCGCCAACACTTCCACCCCGCTCTCCACGGCCTTCATCGATCCCTACGTCTACAACTCCGTCGACAGGGCCGCCGCCTTCGAGAGCTCCACTTGCTTCGCCTCGATTCCCCTCCAGCCAATCCCTAGAAACCTACTCGGTACCTCCGTCTATTCGGGTCCCCTCCCGGGCCTAATCGTGCCCGGGTCCGGCCCGCTCGAGCGGGGCTTCCTATCGGGTCCCATCGAGAGGGGTTTCACGTCGGGTCCGCTGGATCGGGCGGGCTTGTTCTCGGGTCCCATGGAGGAGAAATTGGTCCCGGATTCGGATCAGTTCCAGCGCAGCTTCTCCCACGGCGGGTTCGCCTTCCGTCGCCGATCGGGGAAGCGATCGCTGATTCGGGTCCTGCAGCGGGCGATATCGAAGACCATATCCCGCGGCCAGAGCTCGATCGTCGCCCCGATTAAAAACGGCGTCCTCAAAGAACCCGATTGGATTCTCGCCTCGGAGAAGCAGCACAATGAGAATCTGACGGTCAGTAGCATCAACAATCTGAGCAGCGACGGCAGTTTGGAGGACGAGGATTCATTGGAAGGGCAGCAGAATCTGCAGTGGGCGCAGGGGAAAGCAGGGGAGGATCGGGTACACGTCGTCGTTTCGGACGAGCACGGGTGGGTCTTCGTCGGGATTTACGATGGGTTCAGCGGCCCCGACGCGCCGGATTTCCTGCTCTCCAACTTGTACTCCGCCGTCCATAAAGAGCTCAAAGGTTTGTTGTGGGATGATGATAAGCCGGAGCCTGTAAATGATGATGATGATGATGATGATAACAATGATCTCCCTGCCCCTGCATCTTCCCCTGTTTCGTCGGGGAGCGGTAATTCCACAGAAAGCTGTGAATTGAGGCAAGAGAGGGTTGGATGCGAGAGTAACTGTGGTATCGATGATGAGTGTGCGCAGTGTGTGGAGCAGGAGAATCATCCGTGTGTGAGTAAAGTTGTGAGCTTTGATTCGAACTTCAAGAGGAAAAGAGGTAAGAACTCGAGAGGGAAGTACAGAGGAGCTTCGAAGAAATGGGAGGAAAATCAGAGGAGGTGGAAGTGCGAGTGGGACAAGGAGAGGTTGGAGCTCGACAGGAGACTCAAGGAGCAACTGAATCAGTCGAAGTCAGATTCAGACAGGGCAATAAACCATGCTGATGTGCTGAAAGCGCTGTCTCAGGCTTTGAGGAAGACCGAGGAATCGTATCTTGATATAACAGATAAGATGCTTATGGAGAATCCCGAGCTGGCTTTAATGGGTTCTTGTGTGCTTGTGATGCTGATGAAGGGAGAAGATGTCTATGTGTTGAATGTGGGGGATAGTCGAGCTGTGTTGGCCCAGAAGGCCGAGCCTGATTACGGACTAGGACGGGTTAGGCAGGATTTGGAGAGGATCAATGAGGAAACTTTGTATGATATTGAAGCCTCGGATGAGGAAAGATCGACTGCCATGTCTAGTTTGACTGCTGTTCAGCTTACCATTGATCATAGCACCAGTGCAGAAGAGGTATGGATTTTCATTTTGAAGAAAATGATTGAACTTCTGGCTCCGGATTGTCAATTGCTCATTAGGGGGCTTATTGGTTTTGATCACTTATCTAAATTTTTTTTTCCTTTTCCAGGAAGTTCGAAGAATAAGAAGTGAGCATCCAGATGATGCTTGTGCCTTGGTGAATGACCGTGTTAAAGGTTCACTCAAGGTCACTCGGGCATTTGGTGCTGGTTTCTTGAAGCAGGTAAACTCAGAATTTCCCTTCGGCTGGAATCCCAAATGATTAAGAAAATGTGCCATGATATGAAAATAAGAGTAGAGATGTGTCCTGAAAGCACCTATATACTTAGCAGACCTTTCTTCTCTACTAGTCTATCCAGCATTAGTATTTGCTTTGGAACATCATGTCCAGTTGTTTGCTTTGCTCTATGATATCAACTTGGTGTTCTAGAGCTATCAATGCTGTTTGTTTGCAGAATCCTAACTCGAACCTCCTGCTGGTGAATGAATGTGCAGGCTAAATGGAACAATGCGCTTCTGGAGATGTTCAGAATCGACTATATTGGCAATTCTCCATACATAAACTGTGTACCATCCCTCTACCACCATAGATTGGGACCAAAGGACAGGTTTTTGATACTATGCTCAGACGGCCTCTATCAGTACTTAACCAACGAGGAGGCAGTTTCCGAGGTCGAACACTTCATCGCATTGCAGCCTGATGGGGATCCAGCTCAACATCTAGTTGAAGAAGTGATGTTCCGCGCAGCCAAGAAAGCTGGTACGTACCTAATAAACTCGGTGCGAAAAGATCCCTTATTGCGCTCCAAACTATGCTCGTATGTGGTTTGTGAGTGAAGAGATATATGTACTAAAGATCATATCTGAACTGAACTATCCTTGCTTTGCAGGTATGGATTTCCACGAGTTGCTAGAAATTCCACAAGGCGATCGGAGGAGATACCACGACGACGTCTCCATCATTGTTATTTCATTAGAGGGAAGGATATGGAGATCTTTTGTATAAGAGTAGCGAATGAACAGAAAACCCACAGATGATAGAACTGATATAGAGAGAGAAATCTGAAAAGAAAACAAAACAAAAAAAGAAGAAATGTCAGGCATTTCCCTTTTGCGATTCTTAAATTTTTTTTTTCCCCTTCTTTTGTTTGTCCCTGAATCACCTCTTGTGATGAAGATCTTAGTTGTGCAAGATCAGCAGTTTAGGTGGTGGAGGGGGGATCTTGTAAAGTCTGTAAAAGCTGGTTCAGATTATATATAAAAACAAATGGCCATAGGAAGCAGAGGAACTGTAATTTTCTACAAATAAAATGACACCTCCTTTTCCTCCAGAGAGAAAGGAGCCTTTTTGAGCATCATCTCCCAACCCTTTTCCCCTTCTTCTGATAAAGACCTCCTCCATGGGTCAGCTGATATGTTAAAAACTTTCTCAGTAGCTGCATCTGCTTTTTTCACCACCCTTTTGAGCAGAGACGAGCCAAAAGACGAACAGCCTAATAATAACCCGCATTGATAGCAATCTGGTTAGTAAGTTTCCTTCTTCCCGCATGGAAATGCAAGGCATTGTTTCAAATGCAGGAAAGGACGTTCAATTTTGGTAGTATGAGGGGGCAGTGGGGTTGCTTTCAGGCAGTCAATATTGATGAATCCAGAATCATTGCATTGCATTGCTTTTCTTGCTATACCTCTCTTATCTGAAATCTAAAGGCCTGGATTTGGGCACAAGGGTAGCTCCGATGGAGCTATGGCAGCCATTAATACATCCCCAGCCCACTCCCTCCCATTAATTTCCTCTATCTGATGAAAGTCAAAGGAGGAAATGAGGGTTCTGGACAGTGGGCACCTACTCGATTGCTTCATTCATCAACTGTACTTATTTATTATAGTACTTCTTGCAACTAGTTTGGTTGGTTGTGTTTCGCGCCTGCAATTTCTACCAAATAAATTATATGTCGTGCCAGACACATTTGATTTGCATGTATTTGACATTGTCTAAACAACTAAGGGATTAAAGAAGGGTGGTTCGGAGGAAGTTTGTATGTGAATGATTTTGAGTCAAATTATTTATTTAGGTCAAAATAAGACAATACTTTATTGATGAGTTATTTACAAATAACTCATGTTTTGTGTTATTTGCAAATAACTCGTTTGACTCCTTGTTAATACCACATATAATGATTAAGCCAAACGAAATACTTTATATACCACATCAAATTATCACAAACGAATTCTCTACTCGTTTTTACTACACTGTCATGATGCTTTTGTAATTTTATATTTATCATCTATGTTTCATAAGATGGGAGGGTCCACATTTAGTGTGAGTTTGACTAGTTAGTTGGAAGATCATATCCACGGTCAATTGATATTCGATTGGCCAACAATTTTCCATTGCAAAATTTGTACATGATGTATAGTTGATTTTCACTTTGATCATATCTAAATATTTTTGTTAAATATCATGAGCCTCTAAAATTTTCTTCGACCCTGTAACAACCACTTCAAGTAGAGAATTCAAATTATCATACGTAATCAAACTGGAGTGATTTTCAACTTATTTTTTCGTTTGATAAATGTATGATTAAAAAAATTAGGATTAGAACCTTCTTGTGATAGTAGACTAACTCACTAATCAATGATAGGTTTGTCCGCCAATTGAAAATGAGTATAACCATGCCCATCATTTAAATTGATAAATATTTGAACCCATAGAAATAAAGCAAAAATACCATTATAAACTGTTATGCACTCCAGTAGATGTTTCACAACTTCAATATCTAATGTTAGTAAAAGCTTAAGGAATTGGAATGAGATCGATCTTGAAATTTATAGAACTAAAGCCAAAGATATCATTATATATCATTATGCACATCATAAAGTAGTTTGCAACTTTACTATATAATGCTAATAAGACCTCAAGGAGTTGAGGGGGCAATCGAACTACATAAAATTCACATTTTCTTGGTCAAACAGGGTAGTGTTTGGACTATGAATGTGAGTCCAAGTAGTTCGTGGGCATGGAGAAGGGTCCTCAAGCTTCGACCATTGCTTCAGGCTCATCTGACAATGTCTGGTGATACTCCTAGTTGGGATGGTAAGTTGATGCCTGTATATAAAGTGTCCACTGTGTGGAATTCTTTGCGCATTGAACATCTAAGGGTGGAGTGGGCAAAACTGGTATGGGGGAAGAAGCACCTACCTAACAATAGTTTGCTTGCATGGCTGGTTCTACTGGATGGCATCATTACCAAAGATAAGCTGGTAAGATGGGGTAAGACAATGGATGGTTCTTGCTTGCTTTGTAGGGGATCGGTGGAGACCAGAGAGCATATGTTCTTTCAGTGTTCTTACTCTTTGCAGGTTGTTTCATGCTGGAGAGAGGGTAATTTGTTATGTAGACCGAGTTGGCAGGGAAGTGTGCAGGCTGTTGTTGCCTTGAACAAGAGGGGACTTCGACAGGAAGGCTTGCAGGGATCTTCTGATGTGCTTGTATTGCTTACCTGTGGTGTGAGAGATGCAGCAGACAGCACCAATTGCCACCCAGAGATGCTGCAACTCTTGGCAGATTGATTATCTCGGATTTATTGTACCTGGGTAGTGAGGATAGTGACTTACAGGCAGACCTGGTTGCTGCTGGTTTTCTATAGGTTGAGTTGGGAAGTTGAGTAGTCAGGTGGGAGTTTTTTGGGGGGTTTTGTTTCTCTGCAGGGTTATTCACCTTGAGTGACCCTTTTCATTGTATCAGTCCCTATATGTACTCTGCATATAGATTTGGTAATACAATTGCAACTGATTCAACGAAAAAAAAGTGAATTTTTTTGGTGTGGTAGAGTTCTTTTTTGGGACGTGCTTTGCTTTTTTGACATGAGAGTACAACATTGACATGTCTTTGAAGGAGTTCCAAGAGCGAAGTCATTGTTTCCATGAGAAACTGCAATATAGGTGTATTAATCTATAAAATTATAGCGGTACAAAAAGGTCACATTGTCGTTGGTTTAGTAGATAAAAAAATATCTATGGTCAGAGTTTAGGTGTTAAACCCATTTGATGACTTGTGCTAAATAACTTCAAACGGAATGTATCTTATTGGATAAATGTTTTGAATGATAATGATTTGTGCATTTTTGTTTTAGTTTGAACTTTAGAAATTATAAAAAAAGTTTCAACTAATAAAATGACGTGAAAAATTATGAAGTTGGCTGAATCTTACATGATCAAAATATTGTTAATAACAACCATAATATAAGTTAAGATAAGAAATGTATCTGTTTATGAATAAATGGTTTGCTCTATGACGTTGTATGAATAGTCTTACAAACTACTAAAAAGTAAAAACTTACCATCTTACTAGAAACATTATACCGCAGCTTATACAACTGCCCGCTAGTAAAAATTCGATGTGTCTTATTATTAAAATTTCAAAATGATTTTTATCTAGTATACTTTTGATTGACTTTCATAACAAATCAAGTCTAATGCTAACTGGTAAAAAATAACTAGATACTTTATAATAATCCTAGAAATGGCTAGCAAATAGAAATCAATCCCTGTGCAAATTACACCATACAACTCATACTCTAACACCCTCACCATAATGATGATAATTGCTTAAAATCAATTTGAAATACCAAAACATAGGGAAACTCATAACGATTCATTTTCCATTTGCCCAAAATACACAAATGTTGAGATGAACAATCAGGGTTAAATGTTATCGGTTTTAATTGGATAATTGATGGTAACTCATAAGGATTTTTGTACACATAAGCCTCAATGGATATTTGATTCAGGCTATATCAATTTAGCAAATATGGAACTCTAGTTGGCTTAGTAATTTCTAGCGGCAATGTATTTTGGGGCGAAATAACTGAATCGCTAAATGTCGCCCTTAAAATTGCTAACGGTCGTCCTAATTCTAATGATAAATGACTTATATACCCCCAATAAAATTTTGAAATTTAAACAAACCAAACAATCCCTTACCCCTCAAATTGAACCCCTCATCTGCCTTCTTCGCGAATCCCTCTCGACGCACCAGTTCGTCGGCATCTTTCCCGCCGCCGTCGTCGCCCGTTCTCTAATGAAATTTCCAAAAAAACGCTCAACCTAAGGCAAGTTACGGTTGGTCCATGGTGCAACCGCAACTCACTTGCGGTTGGTCCATGATGGAACCGCAAGTGAGCTGCGGTTGCACCATGGACCAACCGCAGCTCGTTTGCGGTTGCACCATGGACCAATCGCAAGTGAGCTGCGGTTGGCCCATGGTGCAACCGCAAGTGAGCTGCGGTTGGCCCATGGTGCAACCGCAAATGAGCTACGGATCCCTTTTTTTTTGTTTTTTTCTTCAATTTTTTTAGTGAACTTTACCGATTCAGAGTCGCTAGTCATGATCCAGACATCATATCGATGATTTCAACTCTAGAATGACGATGATGGATTCTCTCTTTTGAATAATGTTTTATTTTATTTTCTTTACTAAGTGGTGTTTGTTTGCTAAAGGAAGAGTAAAGAAGCTAAAAGGTTAAATTTGTAACTTTGATGTTTTTTAGGGCGACATTTAGCAATTTTAAGGGCGACCTTTAGCAACTCCCCGAAATAATGTTTAGCTGAATGTGATCTTGCAAGTAAGCAAAGCTAGGGCTTAACATAGGGCGGGTCTGTACTCTGTAGTGGTTAATCTGCGAATTGATATCGATTCACCTGTAAATAACCTGACCCAGACGCAGTGGTTGATTGATATTGGTGGATTGCGGATTGATAAATCTTCCAACCACACTTATGTGGGTGGGTGGTGGGTGGATTGCGGGTCACCCTTATAACCCACATCCTATTTTTATATGAAAAAATGTCGTTTCTTATAGTATCAAATATTCATCATATTTTCGAACTGCTCAATAGTCTGACCATATACTTCAAAAGGTAGAGAATAAAGAATAGTTTTGACTACTATTATTGGTTATTATGTTGTGCAATATCATTAGATATTGGATATTGGTATGCAAATTATTGTTAATATCCATTAAATATTGGGATGCAAAGTATAAATTATTAATTGTATCAAAATCACAAATTATTGATACAATCTTACTTACTAATTTGCTATGAACTTATTATAAATGTTAGTCAATTTTCTTAATAGCTAGTTGAAGAATTGTTTTTGCGGGTTGACCAGCGACCCAACCGCACCCACCCAAATCAACACGCAAAAATATGCGGGTGGATTATGAATCACAATTATTTCACCCACTAATAAGCAGGTGAGTCCATTTGAGATAAAAATCTACTCGCCCATTGCCCACACTAGCTTTAACTGCATTGGCTAATCATAGTCGCTTTTGGTAGCAAGGAAGTGACTCGTATTTTTCGTTTTGCGTACGAAGTGAATTTTTGAAGGAAGCAATTTCTTTCTGAGAGACATGTTTTTTGATAGACGCACTCAAAAGTGTTAGAGAGTTTCTCCTAAATATAGGTGTATTTAGGCTAATGACATGAAGACGTCTCTTTGAGTATTTCGAGTTAAAATGTCTATGTAGTCTCCTAACTTTCAACTTTGTGTAATAAGGTTGAAAGGTTTATAGGTATAATATGATTCTTTACTAATATTTACATCAAATATGACTATATTTTGGAAAAATGATCAAACATGCTCTTCTGTTAAATTTTTTTATCCAAAACCCGTTAATCATGACCGACCTTTGGTTTGAGTGACACACATGTCTAAAATATCTATAATAGTTTCACTTTAGAATTATTTTACTTCTTCTGTATAGCCAAATAATTCTAATAATTTCACTTTGAAGAGACATAGAGAAATAAAATAGGGGACAAAACTGACCTTTTCTCTCTCATTTGTCGATGTCGGGTCGTCTAAATCTCGGTTCAACCATGATTGACGATTTTATCAATGGAAATTTTAACAGAATGATATGTTTGATAATTTTTTCAAAGTACAGGAGACATGTTTGATAAAAAATAATAAAGCGACATATTTGATAAAACGACAGAGTAGAGGCATCATAGTATACCTATAATTCGAGGTTCAAAACTTGCCAAAATATGCAAAAATGTTATTTCTCGGGTCCATAGGCACGACACACCGTTTAGGATCATCCAAAAACTAATGCTTGAATCCCACTTGAAGCAATGATAGCATCCAAAAAAAAAAAAACACAATAAACATAAAAGAACTGTTTACATGTAAGAATTATCATGCTAGGTAATTCTTATAAATCTACAAGGGAAAGAGTATGAAATACAAAATAAATAAAAAATTTGAATTATGAGAAAGATGAAAGAATAAAATGATAAATATGCAAAATATGGCACAAAACTTTTCCTATAATGTACGACAAATTAGAGTGAATTTTCAATTTTCTAGCTACTAAAAATCTATCTTTCATGACAAAAGTGAGCTGCATAGTGAAAATATGACAAAGAAATAATGTTTTTAAGACAAAAAATGAGTGACGAATCCAACTATGCACTTTATATAAAGGTGCATGCTGAATTATATACGAGAAAGAGTTTTCTCATTTCAATAACGTTAGTGAAACTTAACATTGTATCATTATCAATGTCTTCAAATTTAGTTATCACAAAGATAATTTTTGTAGACCAATTACTTTTCTTTACTTATAACGATAAATACAATATATTAGTCAGAACTATTAAACACCGGGGAATTATAGCCATAAATATCGAAATACAAATTATTAGCCATAACTATTATCGCAGGTCAATATATGGCTCACAACCGGTTAACACTAACGGTTTGTTGGCCGGATTTACAGCTAAGCCAACATATCAGTGTCGGCTCAATTATAATAAATTTTTTATTTTTTTGTAAGATTAAAAAAAAAATAGAGAAACCACTGCCTTCTTATCCCTAAGAGTGTTCAAATGGTTACCATGGTAATTACAAAACCAAACAGGCTAAAATTCTATATATCATTGTGTACCCTCTGCAAATACAAATATACACTATACAATATAGGAACAATATTGAACTTTATTGTTGATGAGCCTAAAAGGAAAGAATGTTTGGCTCTTGAGTGGTTCTGCCAAGTATTAAGTATGTGTATATAATATACTTTAGATATATGGATAATTACTTAACTGGTTAATTTGGTTTGATTGGTTAAGAGTGTATGAAACCAAACCAAACCACCTAAACCAAACAAGCTAAATTTAACCAAACTAAACCAAACCAATTATCCAAATTAACCAAACCAAATTAGCCAAATACTACCGGTTAAAACGGTTACCACAGTAACCACACCGTTTTAACACCCCTACTTATCCCTTCCTCTTCCCACCATCGAGAAGACCAACACCGCTCAAAACATCACCTTCGATCTCCCACCTCTGTCATCCCCATCTATAGCAAATGCTCCCCATTCCTCCCCCATCCCCCGCCGTCTCCACCTCCCCCCTCCTAGACACCGTCAACCACCTCGCGCCAAAAACCCTGCATGCCTAGCCTCCCTCATCTCTGCTTTCGTCGTCGTCGTTGCCCCCATTGCCCCCAGCCAACACCTCCTCAATATCGCCAACTACGTCGTCTGGGGGGTGAGGGGAGGACTTTGTCGAGATGCACAATCCAAGGAGCCTAGACAAGGTTCTTGCGGTGGAGGGCGGCAGGATGGAACCCTCTCGTCATTGATTTCCGCACTCTGGATTCCAGGTTGAATACCGACCTCTTCTCGTCTTCCACCAGAAGTATCGATTCGATTCTCTCCGTCACTGGCTTCATCCCCGCAGACCCACTCTTTCCCCCAAATTACATCGTCGATCCCCAAAGAGGATAGAAGAACAAAATCATGATTCGCCAACCCTAGACGAACGGGGGAAGAACCAGAAACCAAAGAAGATACCATAGGGATCGGTAGAAAGCGAATTCATGCATGCTCTGCGTGTGTTTTTCCTTTCTTCTTCGTCGATTGAGCTGCTCTACCTGCCATGGCATCGCTCACTCCTCTCTTTGCCTTTCTTCGGCAGGCGGTGGGTCAGAGTGTGACAGAGGGTGGAGATTGAAGAGGAGGTGGAGATGAGGATGTAGGCGGAGGAAGGATGAAGGTGGAGGAAGTGGAGTGGCTCGGCTGGGGAATTCGAGAAAATTTTACGTATTGGTTTTTGTTGTTTGGGTTTAACTAATTCTTCAATTAAAAGAACAAGTAGAAGGTTACTATTGCTTAGAGTCACATCACAAGGGTTGATCATTTTGTAATTGACCAAAACTTGGAGGAGTTTTATGTTATTAAGGTTCTAATTAATTATTTTATACTATTAAGGGGCTAATCAATTAATTTAAGACAATTGAATCCTAATTGAGCCCAAATCGATGGGTATTTGACCTAATTCCACATGGTTAAAGCGAGTTGAACTCAGTTTTTACAAATTTTGGGCCGACAACGAGTTCTACACTCTTAAATCAATGGGTTAAACCTGGGTAAGCGAGTTTTACACGCTTAAATCAATAGAGTTAGTTGAACTCAACATTAACGAATTTTTGGTCGAGCAAGTTTTTTTTGTCTCCGCCTTGCAAATGATTTTTTACCGCTTTTTTGTTGTTGTGTCAGACATGCAAATGATTTTGAAGACTTTAGGGGGTAGATCTTTTAGACGCGACCTTGAACTCTTTAAAAGAACAAGTTTTGGGTTACTATTTAGTAGAGTCACATCAACTAGGATTATTTTATTGTTTAGGCAAAATATACTTGTATAGCCAAAACTTTTGCGCTTGTGCCAATAATAGCCAAATTTGGCGAAATACCACTTATAGCCAGCTTTTAGAGTTGTTGTAGGACAAATATAGCCATTTCCGTCAGATACTTTAACGGTGTTAATAACACCGTCAATTTATTGACGGTTCGCTGACTAGGCGCCAAATCAGCGGACACATCACCTATTACAATTATTTATATTAAAAAAAAAATAAAAAAGAAGATTAAAATGTGGTATCTCTTAATCTCCTTCTATTCCTATAGAATCCCCAATCCCAAAAATTAATTAAAGAAGCTACAATTTTCTCCAACTCTCTCTTCGACCCTTCCCCTTCCCTCTTCCACCTGCAAATCTCCCACCCATTCTTTCCAGCCCGAATCCCTAATCCCAAAAATTACTTAAAGAAGCTTTCATTTTCCCCAACCCTTCTCTTCGACCCTTCCCTTTCCTCTCCCATATGCAAATCTCCCACCCATTCTTCCCAACCCCCAACTTCATCGGCCAGCGAAGATCCAGGATCTGCAGATTCCATCTTCCTCATCTTGCTTTCTCCCTCTTCTTCCCCGTTCCGTTCTCTATAACAGAGGCAATAGTTTGGGCTGTGGGATTTGAAGGGGTTCAATGAGGAATCCAAATTGAGGCTCAGAGAGTGGATTCGGGATGGGTCGACGACCACAAAATCCCGTCAATTTCATTGTCTTCACGGGAGGTTCAAGATCTGGAGGAAGCTCTCTCTCTCTCTCGCAGCTAATCGTGACAGTGAAGGAGAGATTTTGCGAGGTGGCGATGGACTAGGAAGTAGGGGGATGTTGCGCCAGTGACGACGGTGGAGGATGCTTCAGATTTGAGTGGCAGAATGAGAAGTGTGGCGGCCGGAAAGAAAGGGGAGGGAAGCAATTTCGTGATTTACAGGAGGGATTTGGAGAGAATGTTACAGGCGAGGGAAGCGATTTCATGATTGAGTGACCGTGCCTGTTTCTCTCCAGCACGAATATGGGTTTAAGGAGAATGTTACGGGAGTGGTGAAGATGGAGGGATTTGGGTATATTTTTTTTTGTTTTCATGTAATTATAATAAGAAGTGGAAGGATGGATATTAAAAACCTCATTTGAAAATTTTATTCCTTCTTTTTAGTGTTTTTCTACTATTTCTCCTTTTTTTCATTCCCTAAATCCACGTGAATTTTTATAGAAAAAATTGGCTGGAAGCGCTCGCCACATCAGCATCTCTGTTTGTCTAGTTAGACTTAAAACTAATAGCGTTAAAGAATTGGACGAAAATGACTATAAGTGGTATTTCGCCAAATTTGGCTATTATTGGCACAAGCGCGAAGTTATGCTATACAAGTTTATTTTGCCTATTTTTTACTGATAGACCATTGATTACACATGATTTTACCCCTATTCTTGAGTCGTTTGAGATGTTGATTCTAGTGTTTTAAGCCGATTTCACGCTAGGTTGTGCGTTTATGTCATATTTCAGGGCTTAGCGTTGGAATCGAGGCGAAGAAACGAGTTTCGGGTCGAAAGGAGCACGTTTGGGGTGAAGTGTGCTGGAGGGGAAAAATACCCGGCCATGAGCAGAAATACCCGGCCGGGTATATTTGGAGCAGACCGGGGATTTGTTGCTTCGGCCGTCTCTGAGAAGCAGAAGGGGGCCCGGGCAGAGAGCTAAAATCCCGGTCGGGGATTCTTGGCATTGACCGGGGATTTTTCCCTGTCTTCAGACGCGACGTTTTGAATATACCCGGTCGCCACCCAAAATACCCGACCGGGTATTCAGACCAGGGATCACGACAGACAGCTTTTTAAGGGAAAATAGACAAGGGGTTCCGAGTTTTAGAGAGACAGAGTGATACCTAGAGAGAGAAAGTGACGAAAATGACTCTACAAGTGTCATAGATCGATCTCCATCACCATTGGAGCCCGACTTGAGCTTGGAGAAGACCTGATTGAGTGCCAGAAGCAGATTATCATCCTTCACAGTATGGTTTCCACATCTGAGCTAGATTTTCCATCTCTCTCTATGGAGTAGTTTTCTTATTCACCTGGGTATGAAGAACCCTAGATTTGTATGTTAGGTCTGATTGTATGAACCCAAGTACAGATTCATTGATATGATTATGTTCAATTGAGGTTTGATTTGTTGAATGACATTAATCCTGATCAAATTCCTGTTGTTTCTGCTTTAACCTAGAAAGAGAATATATGCCTAGGTTGATAGAGCCCCCTTGATTGAAGGTAGTGAATTGGCGACTTTAGTCGAGGAGTCAATTCACTATTCTGTATCGAATTTACTTCGGTAGTGGAGGTTTGGTTCGTTAGGGCCTCAATCTGTTTACTCTGGTGGAGGTTAGTCGCCCGTCGAAGACTCAGATTGAGAGGGTCTGGAGACCTTTAGTCGAGACTTCAGACTGTTTAAGAACCTACCGCAGTATAACTATCTTTGAACTTGAACTTGATAAATTACAATCCGACTTAACTGCAGTCTAGGGGGAACCATATCCGGGTGACCTCTCTCGACTTGAAAAACAACCTTTTTACTTGCTTTGCTTGTTTGCTTGCTTTGACCTTCACAAAAGTTTCACTGCTAAATAATAAGAACTCACGGAGTAGTCATCACATCTAGGACCCGGGTTGAACAGGGTGCTCATGTCAAAAATTAAAAGCAGTTGGTCCTCCATGTCGAAATCTTTAAATCTTAAACATGGGGTAAGCCCAACGTGTGTGGCACCGTTCATTGCATAAAAATCGGGTTTTGGAAGAGATTTTAGTGATCCTTAGTGGGGTACTCCTACAAGGTGAAGCTAAGCCGTCTCTAGTACAAGTAAAACTTCCACCCGTTGAACGGTTTGCCTTAGGGGTGGGCATACGGTTCGGTAAAACCGAACCGAACCGAATTCAAACCGAACCAAAACCGAATAACATTACTTCGGTTCGGAATTCGGAAGAGAAAAGGGTATATTTCGGAAACCAAGGTCCTTTCGACCGAACCGAATTTCCGAATTACTATAATTGCAAGTTCCTAATGGTGAATTTTTATGTTCGTACTTATTATGAGACTTAAATATTTGAATTATGTTAGTGTTTTATGAGTTATGTGTTGAAATGTTTGATTTTATCATTGATGATGCATTTAATTGCATATTTATTGTTTACATTAGGGGTGAAAAATAATTTGAAAGAGAAAAATACAAGCTAACCTCACAATTTCGGTTTTTCATACAAAACCGAACCAAATTATAATTCGGTTTGAACCGACCGAACCAAATTATAATTCGGTTGAATTCGGTTTGAGATTTGATGGAACTCGGAAACCCGGTATACATTATTTCGGTTCGGCTTGAACCAAACCGACCGAATGCCCACCCCTAGTTTGCCTACTTGAGGATGTGATTTTAAGGGCACGGATAGAGCTTCCGACCCCCCTTAATTTCATTGACCCTCCACACGAGTGAGGAAAAGGAGTTAAACGAAGTACTCTGGCGAGCGCCAGATGTACAAAAATTGCTCTTGCTCGACAAATAAAGGTCGACCGTGCAAAAGAATGCAGTTGGAACCCCCGCTAACTGAATGAGAAAGAAAAAAAAAAGAAGTAAAATGAAAGTGAAAAAGGGGTTCCAATGGTAAAATGAAGTGAAAGAGCACCCCGGTACAACAAGTCCTTGGTTAAGAATGGTATGAGTCCCTTTATCCATGAACTGACTGTCTTACGTCAACTTCTTCTCATGATCCTGGCTTGAGTCTAGTACTCGCATTGAGAGAGATAGGGAACGTCTTACAAGACTAGTTGACCTCGTAAGCTGCTATATGATCTAGGAAATCCTCTACCGACGATCGGGGTTGTTTGTTGCTATAGAGGTCTGGAGAGCTGCATTGGTTTGAGTCAGGTTTGCTTGGGGACAAGCAAATGGTTAAGTGTGGGGGAGTTTGATAGACCATTGATTACACATGTTTTTACCCCTATTCTTGAGCCGTTTGAGATGTTGATTCTCGTGTTTTAAGCCGATTTCACGCAAGGTTATGCATTTATGTCATATTTCAGGACTTAGCGTTGGCATCGAGGGGAAGAAATGAGTTTCGGGTCGAAAGGATCACATTTGGGGTGAAGTGTGCCGGAGGGGAAAAATACCCGGCCATGAGCAGAAATACCCGGCCGGGTATTATTTGGAGAAGACCGGGGATTTGTTTCTTCGGGCGTCTCTGAGAAGCAGAAGGGGGCCTGGGCAGAGAGCAAAAATCCCCGGTCGGGGATTCTTGTCATTGACCGGGGATTTTCCCCTGTCTTCAGACGCGGCGTTTTGAATATACCCTATCGCCACCCAAAATACCCGACCGGGGATCGCGACAGACAGCTTTTTAAGGGAAAAGAAGGGCAAAAGACAAGGGGTTCCGAGTTTTAGAGAGACAGAGCGATACCTAGAGAGAGAAAGTGACGAAACTGACTCTGCAAGTGTCATAGATCGATCTCCGTCACCATTGGAGCCCGACTTGAGCTTGGAGAGGACCTAATTGAGTGCCAGAAGCAGATTATCATCCTTCACAGTATGGTTTCCGCATCTGTGCTAGATTTCCCATCTCTCTCTATGGAGTAGTTTTCTTATTCACCTGGGTATGAAGAACCCTAGATTTGTATGTTAGGTCTGATTGTATGAACCCAAGTACAGATTCATTGATATGATTATGTTCAATTGAGGTTTGATTTGTTGAATGACCTGAATCCTGATCAAATTCTTGTTGTTTCTGCTTTAACCTAGAAAGAGAATATCTGCCTAGGTTGATAGAGCACCCTTGATTGAAGGTAGTGAATTGGCGACTTTAGTCGAGGAGTCAATTCACTATTCTGTACCGAATTCACTTCGGTAGTGGAGGTTTGGTTCGTTAGGGCCTCAATCTGTTTACTCCGGTGGAGGTTAGTCGCCCGCTGGAGACTCAGATTGAGAGGGTCTAGAGACCTTTAGTCAAGACTTCAAACTGTTTAAGAACCTCCCGCAATATAACTATCTTTGAACTTGAACTTGGTAAATTACAATCCGGCTTAACTGCAGTCTAGGGGGAACCATATCCGGGTGACCTCTCTCGACTTAAAGACAACCTTTTTACTTGCTTTGCTTGTTTGCTTGTTTTGACCTTCACTAAAGTTTCACTTGGCCATTTTCTAGAGTGACAGTAAGAGCGAGTCATTTACTTTTCTTTAATTAATCAAATGTTTTAATTATTTCTTGATAATTGAACTCAAATTCATGTGTATTCAACCTAATTCAACACGGTTTCGGTGTTGCTGAATTTTGGGTCGGGAACGAATTGTACCCATCTTTTAAATATTTCCTCTTATGACAATTGAACCCAACCACATGTGTGTTCAAGCTAATTCGAGTCGGTGTCGATGTATCCGAATTTTGGGTCGAGAATGAATTTTGGGTCGAGAACGAATTTTAAACTCTTTTATAATTAACGAATAGGGTCGGGTGTGCATTTTGTTAAAAAAACACCCTGCTCTACCCGGTATTAACGAATTTTGGGCCTAACAAGTTTTTTTTGTCTTTTCTTCGCTTACCGATCACGGTTACAGTCGCTTTACTACATTTTCGTCTCCGCCTTGCAAATAATTTCTTACCGGGTTTTTTTGTTATATCGGGCTTGCAAATGATTTTGGAGACTTTAGGGGTTAGATCTTTATATCCTTTTTTGTCTCCGCCTTGCAAATAGTTTATTGACCCGCTTTATTAAACCGGTCAGAGAAATTCATGTGTGTTCACAAACTTTGGGTCGATTTGGGATTGAACCCAAATTGAACCTGCTTCTTATTACAGTTGAACCCAAAATCCAGCTTTATCGAGTTATATCCAATGTTGTCGCATTTTGTGTCGAGGACGGTTTTACCCTTGACACTTTTGGCGGCGTGAATGAATTTATTTACTTTTGTAATCATCAAATTGGGCCGAGAATGCACTTTACCCACTTTTGTGATCGAGGGATTGGGTCACGTGTCAATTTTGTTAGAAACTCGTCCGCTTTATTGAACCAGTTAGAGAAATTCATGTGTTTTCTAGCTAATTCATGTGTGTTCACAAATTTTGGGTCACTTTGGGATTGAACCTGCCTCTTATGATAGTTGAACAAACATGTTTGTTCAATCGAATTTGACCTGGTACTGGTGTTGCCGAGTTTTAGGTTGAGAACGAATTTTATCCGCTTTTAAAATTAGCAAATATGGTCGGTTGTGCATTTTGTTAAACACACAACCCATTTTATCCAGTTAAATCCAGTGTTTACGCATTTTGGATCGATGACGAGTTTTACTATTGACACTTTTGGGGGCGAGACGCAAAAAATTCCCGCTTTTGTGATCGACGAATTGGGTCGCGTGTGGATTTTGTTAGAAACTAGACCTGCTTGATCAAACCGGCCAGAGAAATTCATGTGTGTTCACAAAATTTGGATCGCTTTGGGATTGAACCCGCCTCCTGTGACAGTTGAATCCAAAAGCCCGCTTTATCGAGTTAAACTCAGTGTTGACGCATTTTGGGTCTAAGACTTGTTTTACCCTTTACACTTTTGGGGGCGTGAATGAATTTTATCCATCTTTGTAATCATTGAATTAGGTCAAAAACTAATTTTACCCGCTTTTCTGATCGACGAATTGGGTCGTGTGTGGATTTTGTTAGAAACTCGCCCGCTATATCAAACTGGTCAGAGAAATTCATGTGAGTTCATGCTAATTCATGTCTGTTCACAAATTTTGGGCAGCTTTGGGATTGAACTCGCCTCTTATGACAGTTGAACCCAAATTCATGTGTGTTCAAACTAATTTGACCTGGTACCGCTGTTGTCGAGTTTTGGGTCGAGAACAAAATTTACCCGCTTTTGTACTTAACAAGTCAACAAATTGGGTCGGGTGGAAATTTTGTTACAAACTCGGCCAGTTTTATCGAGTTGAATCCATTGTTGACGAATTTTGGGTCGGGGATGAGTTTTACCGCTTTTGTAATCAACTAATTGGGTTGCATGTGGATTTTGTTAAAAGCTCACCCCGCTTTATCAAACCAGACAGAGGAAGTTGAATACAGTTTTCACAAAATTTGGGTCGCTCTGGGATTGAACCCTAATTAAACCCACGTCTTATGACAATTGAATTGAACCCATATTCATGTTTGTTCAAGCTAATTCGACTTGGTACCGTTGTTGCCGCATTTTTGTTCGAGAATAAATTTTACTCGCTTTTATAATTAATGATTTATTGAGTTGAATCCAGTGTTGAAATTTTTTGGGTCATGGACGAGTTGTACCTGCTTTTGTGATCAACAGATTGGGTCACGTGTGGATTTTGTTAGAAACTTAACCCGCTTTATTAAACTGATTAGAGACAATTCTAAAACACTGTTCCATAGAATCACTTCACAAAAAAGTGCTCCTTTTGTCATTAACCAAAGATAGGAGGAGTTTTTGTGTTATTAGGGTAACTATGTGGACTCATTTTGGTTAATTTAGATTTATTTTAATTTTCATTTAATTCCCTAATCTCTTTCCACCACTCATCTCTCTCTCTCTCTCTCTCATCTACCCCATCTCCTCCTTTCTCAACAAGACGACTGAACCAAAAAGAAGACCAAAAGAGAGGAAAAACTCCAACAACAAAATACATGAGGAGGTGCTTTTTATTTCTTGTGTTATTAAACTGATTAGAGACAATTCTAAAACACTGTTCCATAGAATCACTTCACAAAAAAGTGCTCCTTTTGTCATTAACCAAAGATAGGAGGAGTTTTTTTGTTATTAGGGTAATTATGTGGACTCATTTTGGTTAATTTAGATTTATTTTAATTTTCATTTAATTCCCTCATCTCTTTCCACCACTCATATCTCTCTCTCTCTCTCTCTCATCTACCCCATCTCCTCCTTTCTCAACAAGACTACTGAACCAAAAAGAAGAACAAAAGAGAGGAAAAACTCCAACAACAAAATACATGAGGAGGTGCTTTTTATTTCTTGTCTACAATAATCGAACTATGACTCAACATTCTATTCTTAAGTTTTTTTCTACATTCTACCTTAATTGCGATTACCGGATACTAAGGAACAAATTATTTCGGTATCTAGGTTCACTTTATAATTCACTTACAAAAAAGTTCACTTTACAACAACAAATCAATAGCCCCGCCGTGAAGCGCGGACTTTGGTACTAGTAAATAATAGATTTTAGGGTTTCAATTAGTCTTTCCATCTTTTTTCATTTTTCTCGTATGTTTCTATTGCCTTCTTTTTAAAATTATATACTTTCAAATTGTTAGGTCCCCGAAATTTAGGTTGTATCCTTTTTAGGAAAAAAAAAGGTGTGTTTCGGGTGGTGCCGGTTATCTAGGGTCTCCCGATGACCTGGTTCTCTATTTCAAGGGCGAATTGCTGCCTTATGTCTATGTTGACTTGTTGGCTCTTTGGCCTGGATTGTCCTAGTAGGGACCTTTGTTTGTTCATTTTGCAGGTGAAGATTCAATTGCAAAATAGTCGATCGGTGGTGGTTGTCTTGTCCATAACAATTGATACGGCGAGATGGTGGGAGGCGACTTGGCGCATGATTGAGGTGGAGCTCTACTAGAGGATACTCGGAGCTTAGCTTCTCACTTCAGTTGGTTTTCTTTCTGCTTTGTTTCTCATCGACTAAATAGGGCTGCCCATCATGTGGCACACAAGGCCCTCTCATCGAGAGTTCGACTATTGGTCGACTCCCGCGTTTTTTCTTTCTTCCTCGTGACTATCTTTTCAACACTAACTTTGCGGGAAAAAAAAAAGATTTTAGGAGAAATATGTGATAATTGAATTTTTAATGTGATGTGGCTCTCGTGAAGGTCAATTTTTTAATTTTTTTAATAATTAATTAACATGGGTGATTGTCACATCAGAATATCTCTTACACATCAGCCTAGCATCTGCCAACTCAACATCATCTAATGGACGTGTTAATGCAGACTTCACGGTTGGCTAATAATTTGTATTTTCATAGTTGTGGCTGGCTAATATATTGTATTTACCCTACTTATAATGTCTAAATTCCGACAAAGAATTGTTCTTAATTATCCAATACACTATATCCTTCTTTCTCTTCATAATTGGTTATAATGACTCTTCCTTATACCGTCCACTCGACAACGAACACTTAAGAGCTTAACAGTCGCCTGAATCTATCAAAACAAAATGTTGTTACAACACAGATATGTCATAAAACCAGTAAAAAACATAACACATCAAACCTAATGATCCGTTCACTTGTCATTCCGTTTTTCATAGACGCAGTGAAGACAATCTCTAACAACAAACAGACCCGTCTAAACTAATGAAACTTTTTCCATTAATCTGAAACAACCGCATTCCATGCCGCTCAAAATGCGGGCAGAAATCCAACTGCAAAGGAAAATGTTCAAACTGCGGCACTTAAAGCAAGAGCTGCCGGCCAGCGTAGGCAGGCAGGCAGGCCGTCCATTGTTGAATTTGTCAAATCCTCCCTTCCCTTAAGTCCTTAACCACAGTAATTAACGCCCATCAATGACGACAAGAAGAAGAGAAAGAAGAAACCAACTACAACTCTTAATTACAATTAACAATTAGTTGTTCTTGTTTCAGTTCTAAGTTCTAACCTTCATAACAAATCCTCGCTATCCCTAAATTCACTCCCTCTGGATACCCGTTCATTCACACAAAAGCCTAGATTTCGTTCCTTACAAACCCACCAAAAAGCTCGCTTCCCCACACGATTGCGAGATTTTTTTTTGTTAATTATTCAACTACACAGGAATACAAGACAAAAAAAAAAGCCGATTAATTTATTAGCACAGTACCTTGATCGCCTTCTTCTGTCTCTGTTCTGTTCTCTCTCTCTTTCATGGCATGACTCGTTCGTCTCGTGGATGAGTTTGTTCTCTTCCTCTTCTCTATTCAAATTTATGCTAACGTGGGCTTCCCGACACACGACCATTTCCTTCATTGGATTTGAAGTTTTCCTTCCTCTGTTTTCCCCGTTGAGACCAGACTTTTTCCTTGTTTTCTCCTCGCCGGTTGTATCATGTCGATCCTGAGCAAATCCATCAGCAGCTCCGGCATCTCCACCACCGGAGCAGCGGCGGCGCCTGGTGGTGCTTCTTCCTTCCTGGAATTCAAGAAGCAGGCTTCTTTCTTCTTCAGGGAGAAGATCAAGACCGCTCGATTGGCTCTCACCGACGTCACTCCTGCTCAACTGTACCTTCCTTCTTGTCCTTCTTCTAAAATCTTCTTTCTTTGCATTCAAATGGGTTTTATCCCCTTTAGTTTAATTTTTCAAAAGATCATGTTTTTCGATCTGGGTTGATCTCTCTCTCTCTCTCTCTCTCTCTCTCTCTGTGTGTGTGTGTGTGTGCGCGCGCGCGTGCAATGGTGTTCTGTTTTTTTGTTCTGTTCTTAATGAGATAATTTGAATGTTTTCCCGGTTTTCAAGGTTGACTGAAGATGCTACTAGTGGGAATCCATGGGCTCCAGACACTCGTACACTGGGATCCATCTCCAGGGCTGCTTTTGAGCTCGATGATTACTGGAGAATCGTCGAGATTCTCCATAAAAGGTTCTTCTGCTGCACTTTCTCATTTCTACTTTCGATCATGCTCTTGGATCCTCCTTTTCTTGGGTTTCTTCTGAAAAGGGATCTTGGATTTGAAATCAGATTGTCGAGATTTGAGAGAAAGAACTGGAGAGCGAGCTACCATTCCCTAATTCTGCTGGAACATTTGCTGACTCATGGACCTGAGAGCGTGGCCAGGGAGTTTCAGGAAGACAGAAATGCTATCAAGGACACCCAAAGCTTTCAGTACATTGACGAGAAAGGGTCTGTCTCTCTCCTGCTCGATCATCAGTTTGCATTCTTTTTTTTTTCTTCGCCCAATTACTTGATGTTTTGTTGGTTTCAGCTTCAATTGGGGGCTGACGGTGAGCAAGAAATCGGACAGGATTCTGAAGCTGCTAGAGAGTGAAATTTTCCTCAAGGAGGAGAGACAAAGATCCAGAAAGCTAACCAGAGAGATCCAAGGATTCGGAAGCTTCTCCCAGAGATCAACATTGTCTTCTTCTTCTTCTTCTTCTTCCAAACATGGCGTTCTCCAACAATATTCATATGGGAGAAGCCATTCTCAGTTCAACGATCACGATTCTGAGGAAAATCAGATTACATGTGAAACCCGAGAAAGTTTGATCCAAAATAAGATGAATAAAGATGTCAACTTTGAGAATGACAGAGTTGGGGGGCAGAGGAACCTCAACCCCACTGGTAAGAAACTTGAAGCAAGAAGCTTCAAGGAGAATATGGCTCCTGATGAAGAAGTGGATGAAGCGTGGGACGACTACATTGGTGAAGTTAATCCGCTTTTGGACAGCCGGAGAGAGGAAGTAGCCAGGGTTCCAGTAGATGCAGAAGAAGATCATCCTTTCAGCAATCGTAATACTGAGTATCAAACAGCTGCTGCTTCTCTCCTTTCAGCAAGAGATGGAATCCTGCAAGGATGCTAAGAACGAAAACTAAAGCAAGCAAACACTTCGTCTGCAAAATTCTCCTGGCGACTTTCGGCAGAGGGAAAGGGAGTTTCTTTACTGTTTTTTGTGCTTCTTTTAGTAAATGTGGGTGAGGATTACAAGGCTTGAAGAAACCTTCAGTGGATTGATTGCTTTCCGTCTCCCAATACTAGCAACACTCTCAAGAACTGCTACATGTGTGTCGAATTGTGTACCAGAATGTCAAATGATTGAGCTATAATGGCTTGTGATTCCAAATAGACAAAAAGGGTAGCTTTCGAACCCTTTTACATGATCATACAAGATAGACACATACAATGTGCAATCCTTCTATATGATAGAAGACCAAAGCCATGGGAATTGGGAAGGACTTCTGTATGTGCATCACCATATTTACAATGAGAAGTGACCATGACTTCTGTAGCTACAGATCTAATGGAAGCCTGGTTATATTACAAAAGAAATGTTAGATTACAAGTAAAATAAAAAAGGCAGATTTAAGATCTGCAGAGCCATTCATGGATTGCGAGACGGAGAGCATGATTAGGAGTTAGATTAAGATGACTTAATTTCAGATTGGTCATTGGAGATGTTTCGTGCCCATTTCGTAGCCATTCACGGATGGCTTCACTCTCGTATGTGAATCCATCAGCTGCAATTTGAGGATCATGCATTATTTCCTGCAGTAAAAGTGATGAGACCTGTGAGAGGTGAACGATGGCTACTAGACATTTTGCCAAACTGCAAAACTACATGAGCATAAGCAAGTTCAATGCTCTGATAACAAGACCATAACCAGGTCACGAGAAGTAATAATTGTTTACCTGAAGAATGGGGCACAAGAAAAAAGATGGCACTTGCCGCTCCTCTGAGACATGAAGCTGTTCCAATTCCCTCACAAGAGCAGGTGACAACTCAGGTCTGTTTCCACTGTTCAATTCACAGAACTGCAGTGCCAATTCGGCCAGACGTTTTGCCACAAACATCGGCCATTCTCCAGCAGAAGGATCCAAAATGGAGGACAGTTCGCCACAGGACAGCATCCGTCGCATCTCACTAACCAATCCAACCGGAGGCCTCCCTGTGAGGAGCTGCAGAATGATTACACCGAAGGAGTAAATATCGGATTTGGGTGTCAGAACCCCGACCCTCTGGAACTCAGGATCCATGTAAGGGAAAGCACCCTTTGGCTCAGTACTTCTTCCTCGAAAACTTGGGATGTAGAGGTCGTCCTCTGATGCTAGCCTGCAGATGCCGAACTCACATATCTTACAACTGAGCTCAGAATCAAGCAAGATGTTCTGAGGTCTCAGATCACCATGGACAATCTTTTCTGGTTTGGCAGAATGCAAGAAAGAGAGGGCACTTGCAATTTCAGCTATCATCCTGGTTCGTATCGCCCATGTCAAGGATGAGTTGTTGTTACTATTCCTGACGAGGTGGTCCTGGATACTCCCATTTGGCAGATATTCATATATAAGACACCATGCTTCCGAGCATGCCCCAAGTAAAGTCACAAGATGAGGATGTTGTAGTTTTCCAAGAACTTCAACCTGTGTTAGGACGTATTGAACAGCTTAGAAGATGAAATCTTCACGCTTGGTGATGGTTAGAAAAGGCTTTTGAACGAGTTGGAATGACCAGGGGGACAAAAAAAGCTCACCTCTTTATGAAACTCAGATTGGCCTTGCACGTTTTGTGAACATAGTTTCTTTATAGCAACAGTTCTGCCCAGCATTTCACCCTTGTAAACACAACCATATGCTCCTCCACCAAGTTTGAAGCTTTCAGAGAAATTACATGTTGCAGTTTGCAGATCAGTTAATGGAAATTCTGCCAAGTCAGGCAACTCTTCGACATAGCCAAGAAAACCATTGCATCTTGTAGCCGCCCCAGTCTGGCCATGGCTTCTCCATCGCTCAAGCCAATGTGAAGCTTCCATCTTTTGCCGACGGATTCTCTGCTTTTCCTGAAGCAAGGAAGCAAGAGATGTTTGAACGAGTCTCAATTCTGTAACAGCTTCATCACGCCTAATATTCGCCTCATGTGTACAACTGTCGAGTAGGGCAACATTTCTCATTGTTCTTTGGAGCTCTCTAGTGAGTTGTCGTCTCTCTTCCAAGACTTTTTGTTGTTCCTCGCGTGTTCTCCTGAGTGCATCTTCGGCATCTCTTCTAAGTTCCATTTCATGTGCAAGTGCAGATTGAAAGATTTTGACCTGAAGAAGAGAGAGCCAAGAAAAACGATGCACCAACTTTTAGCACAAGGCTGCCAATCTGAAGCATTGACAGAATCCCAGCACAGCTGAATGAAAAGGAGGAGAGAGTGTATTCATGATTGAACCCTCAAAACCCCCCCATATAAAAATTAAGGATTATTCCCATAAATACAAGAAACCACAAATGTCTGATCATATGATTGAGAATGCTACCTCGCCAACTGCTTGAAGAGCTTCATGTTCCAATCTTTTGCACTTCAACAACTCCTCTGATGCTGTGCTCTTTGATAGTTCTGCTACTATGTTTATTTCCTCAAGCTGACAACATAAGCTTTCCCAGTCAAGCTTTGAATCATAATCAGAAGATACCCTTGTTTCAGCAGAAGCAGACCCCGACTCGGAACTACCACTTGTTGCCGGACTGAATGAAAAATGAAGGGCCTGAGAATGCGGCAAGCCTCTGTTGATAGAAGTAGATGCAATTGGTACTTCAGGACAATCACTCTGGACCCAGTTATTGACTCTGGCACATGTTATTCCACTACCAGAAAAAGAACGCTTAAATCTTGGATTGGTAGGTGGTTTATTAGTACTCAATCGAAGTGATCTGGACCTCGGATCCACAGAAATTCCAGCATTTGCATGCTCTGGTATCTGAAAACGGGGTGGCCCTTCCGAAGCTTCTCTCGTCCAGACAAGGTTCCCTTTGTTGATAAACCAAATTTGACAGCATATGGGAGCTTCTTTGGCTACATAATCCACCTTTGTCGAGCCCTTCTTAACCCTCAGCCAACTGTAATCAATGAACACCAGGATGGGGTGACTTAGAACTATCAACGAGACTTGACTCTGGAAACACAAGTCTCACTAAAGCTTAGTTTAAGGGCCAGACTGATACTTGGTATATAAGATAATTTTTGCTAACGAAGTTATATGGACCACTTCATTCACACTGTTTGATTGCAACTTCATCCCTTAAAAGTAAGTAAACTACTCAAGAAGCATCTGGATGAGCAACTGTGATCATGGTTTGATTGTACATGCTGCTAGAAGCTTAGAACACAGCTGAAAACAACAAATCGTGCCACTTACTTCTCAGGTACAGCCCCCATAACAAGCTTTTGGACGCCTTCCCGGTTCACCAAGTTTAGAATTCCCTTTTGAACTTGTTCACATTCAACAGAAATGTAACTTGCTTCAACCTACAGAGGTTTTATGATACTGCTCCATTAGTTTGTGAAAGAAATGCACAATCAGGTTCAATAACTTTGGCAGTAAAGCATTCCCAGGGGATCTAAATTAACAACAGCAGCTGTCACAATTGAGAGGAACAATGTAGAACCTTATAAGGAATGGCATGCCAGTTGAATAGCTACCACTCAGCCCAGCAAAGCTAAAGGGTTGAATTCCTAACTCTCTCAAACTATTGAAAATATAATAAGAAAACCAAGGATGGAGACAAGCATGATTTCTGATAAAATAAAACAATTCCCTTTCAGCAAACCACAAAGTGCACACAGGACAAACTGAAGAATGATAACAAGTATATAAAACTGGGTCTTAGGGCCAGATTTAAGAGAAGAGAGGAAGAGGGAAAATACTTTTGCTCGACGGAAAATAGCCAGGTAGCGCTCCAAAAGCTGCCTCATCAGCCGCTTCTCCTCCCTTCTATGCGCCAACACTACTTCAGGATTCGCTCCATGTGCTGGCAATTTTCCCACTGCAATCACACATATTAATCTACCTAACACATCGAAAGGAAACGTAATAGAGCAAAATGTGGAGGGAAGTCTGTACAGAGAGTCGGAATGAGAGGAGAGGGCCGGTGGACGTGAAGCAGACAAACTTGATGGCCGGTGAAGTGTTTGAAGGTCCATTGAATCACAGAAGCCGATTTCTCCAAGGATTTGCCCACCGCCACATAAACCTTGGGGGAGCAAGTAGTATCAGAACTGGTGCCAAGGGACAATTCTTCCGCGATATCAGGTAACTGGGTGGACATCGTCCGGCCGAACCCAAGCCGGGATTCCGGCGCCGGGAAGGGCGAAGTGGAGGGAATAGGTCTTGGAGTGAGGTCGTGATGATCATTATGAGGAGGAAGAAGCGGGTTTACGAGCTCCATGGACGGACCCAGATAGAAAGATGAGAGAGAGAGAGAGAGAGAGAGAGAGAATGGTAAAAGTGAGATATGGGTGTGGAAAATGGAATTGGGGAAAATAATTTTCTTTTGGAGGTGGGGGAAGGAGAGATGGCAAATTCTAATCATGGGGTCGACGGGAAGGAAAGGTGGCTTGTGCTTCCCCTGATCTTTCCTCCATTGTTGACTTGTTTGTATTCTTGTTCTTAGTTCTACTCGCGGCAAATATTCTTCGTCCCTAGACGTTGGCGTCGGGCCGGGTTGTCCGCGGGGTCAGGAGAAGTCAACCTCGCCGATTGAAATAAAATAATTATGTGTATGCCAAGAGCCCAAGACAGAAGGTATATCATATATGCACTGTATGCCAAGGAATTTCAGAAAATTCCAACTATCCATCCGGAGTTTGGTTAGTGGTTACCACTTACTAGGGTGGGCTCGTGGGTGGTTAATCCGCGGGTTGTTGTAGATCCACCCGCAAATAATCCGAACCACAAGTAGTGGGTGATTGATGTAGGTGAATTGCGGGTTGATAAATCTCTTACCCGCACTTATGTGGGTGGATGGTGAGTGGATTGTGAGTCACCCGAATGACCGACACTATATTTTTACATGATAAAATGGTTTTTCTTATGCTATCCAATATTTATCATATTTCCTAACCGCACTACACACTAGCCATCTACTACTAAAAATGGAGAATAAAGAATATTTTTAGACTACTATTATTCGTTATTGTGTTGTGTAATAACCATGAGATATTGGATTCACATTATAAACTATTAATTTTATCAAAACTGTAAAATGCGTCTGTTTTCTCAAATTATTTACACAATTGGTTGATAGAGTATTGAAAATTTTGATGTAAATACTACAAGGATTCATATGAGACAAATGGGGAAGTGTTTAAATGGTTACAATCTTACTAATTTACAAGGAACTTATTATAAATGTTCTTAAACTTTCTTAGCTGCTAGGTGGAGAATTGCTTTTGCGGGTTAACCCACAACCCAACTGCACCCATCCGCCACCCACCCAACCTAACCCGTAGAAGAATGTGGGTGGATAGTGGGTCACAATTATACCAACCCGCTAGTCAGCGAGTGGGTCAATTTAAAACCAAAATCTACCCAACCCACCCATTGCCCTCCCCTACCACTTACCACTTCGTTGTGCGAGAATACAAGAGCGCCAATTTCTCAAGTGAAGAGAGCAGTAATATTACATCGGAGTGTTTGGAGTATATCAGCCTGACCCATATATATATATATATATATAGGGTAAGATTGCTGTACTTTTGGAGTATATTATATTTCAATTGCTTTTGATATATATTATGAATCAAATCGAGTTTCGTGCATAATAATATACCCAAATCTCTAATGGATAAATTCCAGACCCCGTATTCCTAAACTGAAACATAAAGTTCAATTTTATAGAAAACAATAAATTGACTGTTGAAATCGGTTGGAGCTCACATCTAACGGTCAGATCATATATTAACTGTGAGGCTTAACCCTCAAGTTATTTTGTTAGCTATTGCTTACCAACCACAAAGGTATGATGAAAAGATGATGAATATAATAGACGTCGATAGTGAAGTTACAGATTGGCTATAAAGTCATGATTTTAAAAAGTGGACATTACACAAAGACAGAAGGTATATGCACGACATGACATCACAACACCGAACATGGGTGATAGGTTTAATTGTTTGTAATTGGCATTCGCACAATGTCAATATCAATTATCATATTGTCTACCTTCTTCGGGACGGTTAAGTGGTTCATTAATTAACAACAAAAAGCCATAAGATGCTCGACAATGGATATATCATCCCTCAAAAGATCACCAAGGACGGGGAGCCATGGAGGAAAATGTTTGATCGCATGTAGTACATAGCCAAATTTACATGGTCCGAAGACCAGTATAGTATTCTCTAGGGTCTCTCACAATCACTTACTCTGGTTGTGAGATGAGTTGTATGATGGTTTTATATCGAATGTGGAGATTGATGTGCCTCCGGATTTGATGTTTACCTTGATTTTACAAACCAAAAAGGAAAAAAATGCTCAAAAATAAATCTAAAGCTACGGGCAAGTGGAGGTGTTACGAGAATCAAACCATAGTAACTATTATGCCTCGATTTGGGCTGGCGTATTTTATTATTTAGTATTTTACTATTGATTGTCTTTATTAGTGTTTTCATTGTTTAAGTAGGATGTGTTTATTGTTAGTTATTTTCTTATAGGAGTAGGAGTCATGTTTTAGATAGGAGAAGTGTGTGCCTATAAATATGTATTTTGTCTTTCGTTTAATGATATGTTGAAGATTGACATTCATTAGTAGCTGTAGTTATCTTCGTTACTCTAAATATTCTCTTCATTCTAAGTCTATTTCTTACTTTTATCTTTCAACATCAACGACAAATTGCATGAAGGTTCTCACCGGATAAATACACGTAACAGGAGGACGTTGGAGGATGATGTGGGTTCTTTGTGTTCGTCGATAGGCGTTGCAAGGAAAATATGGACAATTTGCATATAGACTTCTACCTTGCGTGAGCTTCGAGTTTATTTTATGGGTGTGGGTTCTTCGAGAAACCTAGAACTCGACAAAACCCAAAAATGGAAGAAATCTAGAAACCCAAAACCCTAAATCGGACTCTAGATGTTGATATAAGCTATTGTCGCCATCACCGTCAATACTTTGTTCGGATTTTGGGATGATGAAGGATGGAGGATTTGTTATCTACACATAATATAATAATATCAAGGAAAAAACCCTTCCCCCATTTCAAATTTCCTGCTCCAGGAGCGTTTGTAGAAAGGGTAGAATAGGCAGTGTAATTTTTCTTCTCTTTCCTCAGTAGAACGGGACAACTTATCGTATACCACTACTCTGAACTGCCGTCTCGCAAAGCTACTGGCCGTCCTTCACTTCCTTTTTAACTTCCTTCTCTGTGACTCACGTTCTAGGTACTCAAAACCAAAACCTCATCTCTGCCAAAGGCTTCTCCATACCTGCTGTGTAACCGGTTCTTTGCCGGCGACTTCATTACTTCCGATTTGCCTCTTGGAATCATAGTTCTGTCCAGGTATGGGGTTCGAATTGTCGGGTTCATCTAATGTTCCTTTCTTTGAAATATTTAGTTTGCGTTCTTTACCAAAAAACCTGAGTCCTGTCCATCGATTCTCTGTACATGCAGGGCGATCGCTTTCAATTTGCATTCTTGAAGTTCTGCTGCAACCATGGATGGACCCCCCGCAGATTGTAAATTCCAGTACTTCTCTTTCTTGCATTCTGATTTCTGACTCTTAATCTCCCACCGCAAATTGTACCCTCCTCCTCGCTATCCCAATACCTTATGGCTTTGGAAGGTTGCATGTTACTCCGGAGGCACAACCGTCAATGACGACAATGGTGACACCGAGAATGTAGAATCATAACTCCTTCTTTACCTCCCTCCAACCATTATCAAAACCACAGCCACCACCACACTCCAGGTATTTATGAATGGAATTTTGAAAACTAAGATTCAGGTTTTTCTGTATAATGTTTCACCTTCGAAAGTTTTTATCTTTTATTTTTTGGTGCTCTCATTTGTTTCCCAGTTACGGCCAAAACTCAAGTAGGTCACTGGAACCATTAATAATAGGTGAAATAGGAGTGGCTCTGGCTATAGTTAGAGTTGATGAGAACTGGAAAGACACCAATATTTTTGTTTACTTGATCACATTGGTTAAATTCCCTTATTCATTTTTTTATTTAACTTATGATCAAGTGAGGGATTGCTACTCAAACTCAAGTAATTGCCTTCTACTTAAAGTTGGCAGCTTCCCAATCATAAAAACATAAAGTCAACAACTTCAAGCACATGATTTTCTTTTGCACCTACATATGCTATTTGATTTCCTTTCTCAAATATGTACAACAAACTGTTTCTATCTGTATTAGGTAACACGATAGCTAAATTTAATCTTCTCATCCCATCTTAAATAAGTCCTCCCTTAAATTTAGGCATGTATCTCCATAACCGTGCTTTCAAGTTTTTCTGTTGAGTTTAGTAACTACCCTTCTGTCCTAATACTTGGTTGATGGACTTCTACTTTACCTATTGCATTACTAGGATCATCTGCTTCCTTTCTCATGTTTGACTCCCGATGTGGTGTTTCTGCTTGTGTTTATGTTCATGTTGTCTACTTTGACCACTAGCATTACCATGCCTTCCAATCAAGTTCTTATAGTTTTGATCAATATGATGATTGACTATATCAAGTTAGATTCAAAGATGTCAATCTTCTTATTTTGATTGTTCCTTTCTGGTGAAAAAAGTAATTATGATGGATGTTAGCAGTTCCGGTTCATATTTGGCCATTAAAGTTTGTCGCCCATCTATGATTCAGAAACGAACCGAACTTCTACAAAAGCAGGTTCAAGGTAACGACCTTAATCTAGAGAAATTTAAAGAAAATCACCTATGGAACCATGGTCTCTTACAATAAAATAACTTTTACTTTTACTAAGTATTTTACTGCTTTTCTTGATTTATATTAGAATAGGATATTTATGCAAATCATTATTAATACAAATGGAAAGGGAAAAACAATGATAGAATATGCAGATCAACCAGGAAAAAGATGTGCAACTAAGAGAAGTAGAATTTTCAAATACTCCCTATATAAGTTCAGTTGCCTGATGAGACTTATCCCATGGTGGAGGTGGTTAGATATTTTTTGTGATCTCATAAACACTTAGAGAGGTAGTGCCCTTTCATTGACAATGTAATGATTGTTTCTTAATTGCCTGTTATTGTATACTCCTTTTATATCAATTGATACATGTTATCCCTTCTTCCATCGTAGAGAGATTGCAAAGTATTGATTTGTACATCATTGCTAGTTGGTGCTTCATTTTCAGGAGCAGCTCGAGGTAGGGTTCACAATTGGCTGTATGACTTTTATCACAATCGGGAATTGGGATTACCGCCTCCAGTTACAGATTACATAATCAATAGTGCAGGTGAATCCCAAGCTCACTGTTTCTTTAGTTATTTGTAGGTAGCTGGACTCTACAAACCTCATCTTCAACACCCTAAATCGGTATGTTCTCATTGTTTAATATTTTCAAGTCCATTCCTGTTGTTGCCGTATATTTTTGTGCATAAGTTTAATATATTTTTATTGCTGATGCCGTGTATTTTTTGTTCATAAGCTTATACCATTTCATATCACTTTAAC